GTGACAGCCCGCCACACTGTCACTCACACCCGCCACCGTCACCCAGCACAGGCACGGCCCGCTGGGTGTCATGAGGCTGCTGCAGGGAAGGAGGGGCGAGTAGACCATTGAGCATGTTCAGTACAAACAGAAGGTGCAAAAGACCAAACCATCACGGAGTTGTCAAGTACAGCCTAGGGCAGTGGTCGGCAAACTCATTAGTCAATAGGGCCAAATGTCAACAGCACAACGATTGAAATTTCTTTTGAGAGCCGAAAACCAACTTCTGTGCATGGGCCACAAAGTTCAATCGCACTGTAGTGCGCGCCCGCATGTGGTGTTTTGTGGAAGAGCCACACTCAAGGGGCCGAAGAGCCGCATGTGGCTCAAAAGCCGCAGTTGGTTGACCACGGGCCTAGGGAATACAGTCTGTGTATGGTGTCAGATGGGGGTGAGATTTATCAGGACCGTCACTGCAAAAGTTACTAAATCACTATGTTGTACACCAGAAACTAAAAACTTGTACGTCAACTGTAATCGGAAAAATATTTTTATTTTTTAAGACCAAGTCAGACTTCTAAAGGTGAAGAATACCATGTCAGAACTGAAAAATACACAGGCTGAACAGCGGATTAGACACAGCGGAAGAAAGAGTGAAGTAGGAGACATGAACAAAAACTAAACAAATCCTGCCGAAACCGGTTTGGCTCAGAGGTAGAGCGTCTGTCTGCGGACTGAAAGGTCCCAGGTTCGATTCCAGTCAAGGGCATGTACCTTGTTGCAGGCACATCCCCCATAGGGAGTGTGCAGGAGGCAGCTGATCGAGGTTTCTGTCTATCCCCTCTCCCTTCCTCTCTGTAAAATATCAGTAAAATATATTCTTAAAAAACTAAATAAAACATGAAGAGTCTAGAAAAGAAACAGAGCTCCAGTGAGCAGTATCACACCTTCAAGAGGCCTAATCTGTGTGTAATCAGAGCCCCTGATCAGGGAGATGGAGTTCGGAGGACAGATTCACTATTTGAAGATATAGTGACTGGAGGTGTTTTGTTTTCAAATTTGATGAAAACTACAAATGCACAGATGCAAGTAATTGGTTTGCTACTGGGCTCTGGCACAAAAGGAATGTTTCTATCGGACATCAAAAGTGACTGAGGGCGAACTGCCATCACTGGGTTCTGTCAGACCATCGAGACATAAAGTCGATGGATACATTGTAATCTGGAAGTAGCAGATCCAGGATTGAGTTCAGGTAGGTGCAGAGGTAGATGGCCCAGTGCCCATGTCACCTGCCACCATCACACCAATATCTGTCCATCCCTAAGGTCTCGGGATTCCCTGTGACAGCGATCCATCAGGCAGTGTTTTCCGGGCAGAGGGGATGGCCTGGCCAGCACAGAGCCAGAGCCGGATATAGATGAGTTGCCCTCGAGGGGATCATACTGCTAGGTCATGGCCAGAGACAGAGGCTGTGGCCCTCCCCTCACTGGTTCTCTAGACAAACTTGATTCAACTGCCAGCTCTGCCCTGTACTCAGTGTGGCCTTGTGTCCTCTGGGCCTCCCCTTCAAGAAGCCCCAGGCCTTTTCTTCCCTGGGGCCCTGTCAAAGCCACCCATTCCGCCTAAGGTACAGAAAGTGCTTCCTTGGACCAGCAGGGGACACCCACACAATGTGACCCAGATGAGGAGGGGGGAGACCGGAGCTAAGGACTTGTTTTATGAGGTCTCATCTGGTTCTAAAAACATCTATCTATATAAAAGCCTAATATGCAAAGTGTCCCCTCAGGAGATAGGGAGTTCAATCACACACTATGACATGTACTGACCACCAGGGGGCGATGTGGAACAAAGGAAGGCCCCAGCCAGCAACCAACAGCCACTAGGGACCCTACCCATGCATGAATTTCGTGCACTGGGTGTCTAGTCTTTTTATAATAAAAAGTCTCCAGCCAAAACCGGTTTGGCTCAGTGGATAGAGCGTCGGCCTGTGGACTGAAAGGTCTCAGGTTCGATTCCGGTCAAGGGTATGTACCTTGGTTGTGGGCACATCCCCAGTTAGGGGTGTACAGGAGACAGCTGATCGATGATTCTCATTGATGTTTCTGACTCTCAATCCCTCTCTCTTCCTCTCTGTAAAAAATCAATAAAAAATATATATTTTTTTAAATCTCCAATAGCCGAAACCGGTTTAGTTCAGTGAATAAAGCGTCAGTCTGCAGACTGAAGGGTCCCAGGTTCGATTCTGGTCAAGGGCATGTACAATGGTTGCGGGCATATCCCCGTAGGGGGTGTGCAGGAGGCAGCTGATCAATGTCTCTCTCTCATCGATGTTTCTAGCTCTCTATCCCTCTCCCTTCCTCTCTGTAAAAAATCAATAAAATATATATTTTTTAAAAAGAAAAAGAAAAATCTCCAATAATAGGAGGTATAGAGGGTCACTGCCCTTTCCGACCAACTGCAGGAAAAGCAAAACTATGTCAGCCCTGGGCTTGGAGAAGCTTCCCAGAGTGTCTGGGCCCTTTTCCCAGCCCGGGAATGCATCCCAGCTATGAGCACACCAGGATCTGAGCACCCCACGGTAGCTATCAGAGGCCATGAGGGTGGTGGGGAGCTAGCCAGGGGCTGGGACGGCCGAGAGGTGGAAGGAGGAGATCACGTAGCAGAGTCGGAACTTGAACCCAGACCTTGGCCTCAGTTTCTCACCTGTAAAATTAAACTAATAGCAGCTGCTTCTCCAAGCAAACCACGGCAAGGGCCCAGCTCGGCGTCTCAAGCACAGGAAGTGCTCGCTAGTGGCACGGAACATGCAGGGCAGGTCTCCGCAGGGACTGGGGCCCGTCTGCCTGGCTTCATGGGGGGGGACCATGCCTGGGGTCCATCCACCACCCCAACGCACACACGCTTGCACCTGAGGCGCTGGGCCCAGGGATAGTTCACCAAGAGGGAGGGCTAGGGGCTGGAAGGAGGGAAGCCAGGCCACACTCTGGGCAACCACAGGCCGCATCTGTCCTGGCAGCTAGAAGTTCCTATCACATGGCTCTGGGCCCCAGAACCTCAAAATCTTCCAGCTCAGGCTCTTCAAATGTCTCACCACTGAGCTGTCTCCATCATGGCTGCTGCTAGCTAAAAGCTCTAGCGTCCTGGGTCCGGCCTCACGTCACCAGCGTGGAGGCCCCCAGGCACCAGCTGGAAGCTGTTCTTGTACCCAAGTCCCCATTTAACAGTTTTACAGGTGCCCAGACAGTGTGGCTCAGTGGTTGAACATCAGCCCGTGAACCAGGAAGTCATAGTTCAATTCCCGGTTAGGGCATAGGCCCAGTTTGTGGGCTTGATCCCCCAGTGGGGGGTGTGCAAAAGGCAGCTGATCAATGTTTTGTCAGTGTTTTTCTTTCTCTCCCTCTCCCTTCCTCTCTCTAAAATCAACAAAAACCTATTTTAAAAGCATTTTACTTTATTTTTTTTTAATATATTTTATTGATTTTTTTACAGAGAGGAAGAGAGATGGGATAGAGAGTTAGAAACATCAATGAGAGAGAAGCATCAATCAGCTGCCCCTTGCACACCTCCTACTGGGGATGTGCCCAAACCAAGGTACATGCCCTTGACCGGAATCAAGCCTGGGACCTTTCAGTCCGCAGGCTGACGCTCTATCCACTGAGCCAAACCAGTTTCGGCTTAAAAGCATTTTACAGGAAGGGACATTACAGCCACAGTGGAGAATGATGTGCCTCACTGAGTTCCCCAAACAAGTGCAGGGCAGAGGGCAGAGGGCAGAGGGCAGAGGGCTGGAGCTGCAGGCACAAGGGCTGGTTTTCCAGAGCTCCCTGTCCCAGGCCCCAGGCTGGATGGTGACTGCCTGAGCCTCACCCCAGCAGCTGTAGAGGCAACATCTACAGACAGCGGGACACGCGGTTCCTGGAAGCAGATGGCCACTGTCGCCCCTGCGTCCCCCACCCCCACCCCCGCACCCCGGGGGCTCGGCCTCCTGCATCAGCTGACCAGCTTCATCTCTTCCCCTTCTCCGGCCAACCACCTCAGCCAGAACACGGCCAGGTGGGGTAGGGGTCCAGTGGCCTCCTCCAGGGCCTGGTGGGCACAGTGCTGTTTGGAGTTTGCGCTTTACACAGCAAATTCCCTTCCCCAGCTTAGAGTGCAGCGAGGATTAGATGATCCTGGTGGCCCTGAGCCCCCGCTGAGGCCGCTTCCCACACAAATCCCTCAGCCTGGCTGGCCTGTCAGAGCCGCCTGCTGCAGTGCCACGGCAGGGAGGGAGGGATGGGTCGAGGCTGGCCCATCCCCGTGTGGCCCAGAGATCTCAGCCATCAGTGCCATCATCCCCCCCTTCCCTCGGCCCACTCAGGGCCCACCCTCCCTGCCCCTCTGTCTGCAGTGGTCACCTACCCCTACAGGGCTTCCTGGAGCCCCGCAGAGCCTGGCCCTCAGAGGCGGGTTGAGCGGACTGCTGTGCTCCATCCCGTTCCACCACCAGTCGCGTCCTCAGGCAGGTCCTTTATCACCTGTGCTGGGAGCTGGGGCGACCACTCGGATGTGGGTGCCTGTCGCCAAGGAGGCCAGCCACCCCTCCGTCCCAGTGAGGCCCGGCCTCCACGGCAAAGGTCCCTGTGCTTTATTGTGCAGCAAAGGCCCCTGCTGGAGCCCGAGTCTTAGGTCCAGGGCCCTGGGGCCAGCCCCTGCCCCCACTCAAATGCCCATCCCTACCCAGCCCCCCGTCCGGTGCGGGGTGAGTGTGGACCAGAATTTCTGTCCGTGAAGCTCAGGCAGGGCTTTGTCCAGGGACCCTGGGCTCCTGGGAAGTGCAGCGGGGCGGGTGGGTGGGACACAAGAGCCTCCAGCCCTCCAGCCCTCCAGGGAGTCAGCCTGCGTGGTGGGCCTGGCCTGGCAGATTCCACGGGACGTCTGGTGGGGAGGCCTCCGTCCAGAGCTCCTCCTTCCACGCAGGCCAGTCCCATCTGCGTGAGGAGGCAGCTGGGTCCCTGCGGCCGGCGGCTCTGGCACAGGCATCACCGGGGCCCCGCGTAGCCATAGGGGTGCCGCAGCAGCAGGCTCTGGTGGCTGGGCAGCAGGTGGGTGTGGTAGTGCTCCACCAGGCTGCCCACGCTCACAAACAGCACCTCGCCCTCCAGGTAGAACTGAGAGTCCTGGAGGGAGGAGGGCGAGGTCAGGGCGGCTAGGCCAGCTCTCCCCTCCACTCCATACAAAGCGGGGCGGCCAGCACTAGGACAAGCCTGCTCCCGCTGCCTTCTCCTGCCTCCGTGCCTGCCTCCCAGTTCCTGCTCACTCCCCCGCTTCACCAGGCTGTAGATAAGCCGGGTCAGGAGCTGGTCACCCCACCCCCTCTAGCTTGCAGAGGACACAGCCAGGCCAGGGGAGGGGGAGGGGGAGGCAGTGGAGGAGGGACGAGCCCGCAGGTGCCAGCCTAAGCCTGCCCCCTGCCCACACTCTAGGGCAGGGTGGGAACCTTGTTCCTGCCAGGGCCAGGTGGGCAGTTATAACATCGTTGGAGGGCAATACAAAACGATCAGCTGAAACATGAGCCTGCCCACTGGGTCCGCCATTTCACTAACCGGCCCTCACCACCTGGTTGGCAGGGCCTGATCCGGCGGAGGCTTCCCATCCCTGCTCTTGGGGAGGCTGTCCGGCCCCGCCGCACCCCTTCCCGCCAGCCTGCTCACCTTCTCAAAGATGCGGTAGTTCCTCACTTTATTGGAGGTTTCGTCCCACACGACCAGAACCTTCGAGGAGGAAGCAGAGGACAGCGGCTGAGGGCGGGCTGAGCCGGGGGAGCCAGCCTCGGGGACCCAGGCAGAGCAGCAAGGCCCGGTGCCCTGGCCCTCAGGGTGACGGCGCCCTGCACGTGGACAGCAGGTGGGGAAGGGCAGCCCTGCCCTGGGCTCCTGCCCTCAGGTGGCCTCTGCTGGTCCACCCAGGACCATCTCTGACACACTGAGGAAACTGAGGCTCGGTGAGGTCACACGAGTCGCCCCTGGAGGGGCAGAGGCAGAGCTGGCAGACGACCTGCCGTTGGCCTTGCCCAGGCAGACTCCCCTTCAGAGCGCAGGGCCCCAGCCTTCCTTCCCGTCTCCGGCCGGTGCTGGGGTAGCCGTCCTTCCCCCAATCTGCAGATGGTGTCCACTTCCTGAGAAGGGACCCCAAGGATGGAGGGCCAGAGGCTCCTGGGACGTGAGCTATCGCCCGGTGTGCCCGCCTGCAGCCTGACGCGGGGCTCCTGGGCACCTACCTTCCCATTCTTGGTGGAGGAGTTGCGGATGCAGTAGAGTCCGTCCTGCGGCTCTCCCCGCTGGCTCGTGGCTTTGAACAGCCTGGAAGGGAAGTCAGCAGGTGACCCCTCTTCAACGGCTCCCGGGGCCCTCCAGCCCCAGGCCCCGCAAGACTGTCCTCTCGCTCTCCTGCAGCTCAGGCGCCATGAGCAGGGGGCGCAGGGGCAGTGTGTGTAGGGAGCAGGGGGGGCAGGGGGTAGTGGGTGAGGGAGCAGTGGGCGCAGGGGGCAGTGTGTGTAGGGAGCAGTGGGCACAGGGGGCAGTGTGTGTAGGGAGCAGTGGGCGCAGGGGCAGTGTGTTTAGGGAGCAGGGGGGGCAGGGGGCAGTGTGTGTAGGGAGCAGTGGGCGCAGGGGCAGTGTGTTTAGGGAGCAGGGGGGGCAGGGGGCAGTGTGTGTAGGGAGCAGTGGGCACGGGGCAGTGTGTGTAGGGAGCAGGGGGGGCAGGGGGCAGTGTGTGTAGGGAGCAGGGGGGGCAGGGGGTAGTGGGTGAGGGAGCAGTGGGCGCAGGGGGCAGTGTGTGTAGGGAGCAGTGGGCACGGGGCAGTGTGTGTAGGGAGCAGGGGGGGCAGGGGGCAGTGGCTGAAGGAGCAATGGGTGCAGGGAGCAGGGGGTGCCATGAACCCCACCCCCATCAGAATCCAGGACCCCAACCCTCCTTCCTGCCCTCAGCCAGTGCTGGGGGAAGGGGGGAATCAGTGCGTGCCGAGCGGGCCAGCCAGGGTGAGGCAGAACTGAGCTAACGGCATCTGCTGTTTCGCCAGGTTTCTGGCTACACCCGGCCGAGCACTTGTGCCAGCAATGACCCAGCACCACCGTGACGAGGGGACACACAGTGGGGAACCCCGTGTCTGGAAACAAATGGTGTCCCCCACTCACCTCTCCACCTCGTAGGACTCGGTGGTGTTGATGAAGACCGAGCTGGGCAGCGGCACCTGCAAGGAGTCAGCGTGGTCAGCTGCATGATCTGTGTGAGCTCATGGCCAGCAAACCGCCCCCACCCTAAGCGCAGGCAGCCTGTGCGGTCCTAGGCCCTGCGCCCGTTCTGGCCCCTCAGCTCCAGGCCTGGGGCTCCTGGCTGATGGCCCGTGCGGGGACCGGCCCGTGCGCCTTGCCTTTTCATAGTCCTCGTCCGAGTCCTTCCCGCCGGTGGCGTCGTCCTGCGAGGCGTCAGCCTGCGAGGGTAGGCGGGGCTTTTCGAAGGAGAAGCTCCTGAAACTCTGCCCATCGGGGGGCGACCGCCTGTGGGGGGAGCAAGGTCACGTCCGTCACACAGCGCGGTGCCCCCAGCTCCCCGCCACCCCAGCCCGTGCACCGAGTGACCGCCAGCTCGGCCCGGCACCCACAGGGTCCGGCCGCCGCAGCCTGCGGCGAAGGCCCACGGCCACGGAGCCTGCGGGAGTCACGGGGCAGGAAGCCCAGCTGGGGTCACGGCAACGCTGCCGGGGTGCTCTCAGCCCCAGCTCCACCCTGACCCGCTCCGGGGCCTGGGCCGGTCACAGCCCTCCCGGACCGGGGTGGGTGTGGGCGGAGGGGCCGAGCCATGTGGGCTTGGTGGCTCAGGGAGGATAGATAAAGGCGGCCACGCAGGACGGGCTGCTGGACTGTGGGTGAGGCCATGCTCGGAGCCGACCCTGGTCCCCAGGCCCAGGTCCAGGCTCAGCAAAAGGTCAGCCGACACCTCTGGGGCCCTCGTGAGACAGGTGTGAGCCGGTGAGGCGTCCTCCCGGGCACCTCCCGCAGGAGCGGGCTGACAGAGTCCTGCGGCCTGGCCGGGTGGCGCATTGGTTGCAACACCATCCCACACACCAAGAGGTCTCAGGTTCGATGCCCAGTCACACAGGAGGCAACTGATCGATGTTTCTCTCTCTCAATCTCTTTCTCCCTTCCCCTCTCTCCTAAATCACTTAAAAAAAATAAATAAATAAAAACAAATAAACACTGCCTCAGAAGATAAAAGAGAGAGTCTGGGGGGAAGGGTGGCATGGCCGAGGGTGCTGGGGCCCGGTTTAGCGCACCCACCCAAGGCACAGCCTGGGGCTCCCAGGACCTTCATTGCTGCGGGTCCCGGGCATCTGACCACAGGCTATGGACACTCGAAGTGGGGGCACCGGGGCACCTGGCACTGCCCAGCAATAAAGCAGGCCTGGGTGAGTCACAGCCACGCTCCACATTCCAGCAAGATCCCAAGGGGAGGGGGGTGATGCCGAGGCAGCCCAGTGGCTCCAGAGCCAGGCACACCCAGGGCCCCAGCGGGTCCCAAGGCTCAGCCCGAGCTCTGTCCCCCAGGCCTCTCCCGGGCAGGCCGCCACCCTGCCAGCCCCTCCCGACCCCAAAGGCCCTGGCCGGCACAGCAGGGGCTCCGAGAGCCTGTCCCCACAGCCCCCCTCGCCCACTGTGCCCTGAGGCAGCCATGAGCCCCAGGCCCACCAAGCATGGGCTGACGTGCCTCGAGGGCAAGGTGGGACATCCTCGGACCCGGGCCAGGTGCAGAGGCCCCTGGGCCGAGGCAGAGCCTTCCTACTGGGCAGGGCTGACCACCCCGGCGCAGGGAGGAGGCTGGTGCGGGGAGAGCGGGCAGCACTCACTGGAGGTGAGGCAGGGGCGTCTTCTCCGCCTGGGGCAGGACCGGGACCCGCGCCGGGGGCTCGGGCAGGGGCCCGGGCAGCTTCAGGGCAGGAGGCCGGGGCGCCACGGGGGGCGCGAAGAGTCCAGGCTTGGCCATCTCCCTCAGGGGGGCCTCCTCCACGGTCATCAGGAACTTGGGCTTGTTGGCTGGCACGGGCGGGGGCTCGGGCGTGGGCGGCCCGCGGGGGCACAGGTGCAAGTTCCTGAGTTTATCGCAGTTCCTGGCGGTGGCCGCTCCGGGGCTGGGGACCCGGGGCTCCGGGCCAGGGCTCTCCGGGAAGCACGGGGGTCTGCGGCCGGTGGGCAAGCTGGGCAGGCTGCCCATCGGAGGGTCACTCATCCTCCGGGAGGGGGGCAGCACCCTGGGGCCAGGCTCCGGCCACCTGGGGCCCAGCAGGTCCCGCTTGAAGCCCTCAGGAGCCGGGCCGGCCTCGGGGAGGCCGCGCTTCGGGGGCGGGGGCGGCAGCAGGGGGCCGGGGCCCCGGGAGGTGAAGGAGTGGGCGCGGGCCACGTCGGAGAAGGCGGGCTTCCTGGGCGTGGGCACGGGAGGCGGCGGGTAGGCTGGCGGGTGCATCAGGGCGTCTGCGGAGCGAAGAGACCCGGTGGGTGAGCAAGTCTCACTGGTGCAGCGGGACCCGCACCCCCTTCCTCTGGGGTCTGACCAGCCCACGCCCCTGCCCGCCCAGCCCTCCTGCGGGCGGCAGCCTGAGAGGCTCCCTTTGACCCTGATGTCACACCAGCAGCCAGGGGGTGCAGCGGCAAAGGGGGAGGAGGCCAGGAGGTCCCCGAGGAGCTGGCCTCGCTGAGGCCGGATTCCCACTGGGACGAGGGATGGGGTGGGGAAGGCTCAGAGGGAGACGAGGGCCGTGTAAGGTGCCCTGAGGCAGAGGTGACATTGGCGAACTGGGGCACAGCAGGCTGGAGGTGTCAACAGTGTCGGCAGCCGTCGCTGCCATCGCTGTGGCCCAGGCGGGACGGTGGGAGGGGCCTGGGAGGGCCTGTCTGGCCTTGAGCTCCATGGGGCGCTGCCAGCCACAAGCGTGGACCAGCCTGGCCTCCGCCCCAGCCGCCCTCCCCTGAGCGGCGGGCAGCGGCAGCCAGAGCAGCGCCTCTCCTGCTCTGCTCCCTCGGACGCGCCAGCCAAGCGGACACACCGAGGCCCAGGGTGGAGCTGGCAGCCCCTGCCCTCTGCCCAGCGCACCCAGCGCACCAGCGCACCAGCTGGCCACCTACCCTCGGGCCTCCCGGGCTCCGGGGAGTCAGGCTCCAGGTACGAGTCGTCCTCGTCGTCATAGTCTGCGGGCAGAGGGGGGGAGGGGTATCAGCGCAGGGCGGCCGGCCTGGCTGTCCGGGGCGGAGGGGCGAGGCTCGAAGCACTGCCCTCAGGGAGGCTGGGCGGACCAGTAGCCACAGGGACAGAGCGGGCTGGCACGGCCAGTCTGGGTGCGAGCGGGACGGGGACACGCCGAGATCCTCACCTTCGTTGTCCGTGGGGTACGGAGACAGGCTGATGTCCACAGGCCGCTCAATGGCCCCGTAGAAGCTGTCCGTGTCCGAGCTGGAGTCGCTGAGGAGGCGGGCGGAGGAGCGGCGTGAGCACAGGGCAGCGTTCCCCCCCACTCATACGGACACGCTGCCAACACGGGGACACACAGATGCCACCAGCACAGGCACGTGCACAGGTGAGCACAGGACACAGACCTAAACACAGGTGAACACAGACGAGGGCGGACAGGCACACGGACACCCTCCATCGAGGGCACAAGGACAACATGGAGACGAGGCCGTGGTCCTCCCTCACTGCTCTACCTGGGAGCTGTCATTGCTAGGCCGAGCCTACCACAGGGCACCTACCACAGGGCACCAGGCCTGCGCACACAGGGCACCGGGCCTGTGCATACAGGGCACCGGGCCTGCCGAAGGGCACTGGCTGGAAGTGAGGGCCAGGAGCACAGGGCAGTAGGGACCTACAAGGTGGCTTGGGGGTGCCGGGCCTCCTCTGGCCTCAGTGGCCTCAGCTGAAAGGATGGAATGGGTCTGCTCCCCCCAGTGAGGTCCCTGAGACCCAGATGGACGGAGCCGGTGTCCCGGGGACTCACTCCTGAGCCAGCCAGGGCGGACAAGGAGGCGCAGTGCCCACAGCTCTGAGCTGCTGCAAATGCTGGGCCCCCAAATGGGCAGTTGAGAGCACGTGACCCCCACGTAGGAACTACCACCATGGAGCACACACGCGCACGCGTGCATGCACACACACACACACACTCACGCTCACTCACGCGAGTGCGCGGGATTACAGGCGTGGGTGCGGGGAGGGGCGCGGGGGGAGCCCAGGCCCACCTAGCGTCCGGCGGCGCGTCCTTCTTCTCGTGGAGGTAGCCGATCTCCCTGCGCAGCAAGGCCATCCAGCTCTGTGGGCGGCAGAGCCCAGTGGGCATGTGCTGCCCAGGCCATGGCCCTCCTCCCGCCATGCCATGCTGTGCCCGCCCAGGCCGGGGAGGCCCCTCAGCCCATGCAGGGCTCCCCCTGAGGCAGTTCTGGGCACAGGGTGTGGGTCGCCGGGTGTGAGGACGGGCACTGCAGGGGCCCCGCCCCCGCCCGTGGCCAGCCCCCCCCGGCCCGTGGCCAGCCCCCCACCCGTGGCCAGCCCCCCCCCGGCCCGTGGCCAGCCCCCCGTCCGTGGCCAACCCCCCCAGGCCGGCACCTTGCGCTCGTCCTCCGAGGACGCCGAGAAGAACCAGGTGCGGTGCTTCTTGCTGATGTGCACAATCTTGAAGGGGAAGACGTTGTTGGACGTGGTCTCCTCGGCCGCCCGCATCACCCTGAAGCACAGCCGGTGTCACCACCTGCCCACGCCCACGGGACTCCTGCCTCAGACCTGCACCCCCACGGCTCCAGGGAACAGATCTGCACGGTGGGGCGAAGGCCAGCGGCTCCAGGCAGAGGAAAAGAGTTTGGAGAAGAGAGTGTGTGTGTATGTGTGTGTGTGTGTGTGTGGTGACTCCAGAGCGGCCCCAGGGCCCGGAGCCCCCTCTGCGCTGTGCTCCGGCCACCTGCCACTGAGCTGGGCACTGGGCAAGGCTCCCCACCGAGGCTGGGGCAGGTGGAGCGAGGGGAGTCCCTGCCCGAGGGCTCGTCCCACCACTGAAACCGTGGCCCCCGGTGCCTCACGGGGGCGCAGGCCCCTCCTCCGCTGACCCTGCTCCCATCGCCATGGCGTCTGGGGAGGGTCCTCAGACTGGCACAGACTGATGCCACAGTGCAGGGCCCTGGTGCCCACTTCAGCCTGCCATGCAGGCCCTGAAGCCATAGGTTGATCCAGAGGACACTAATGGGCTGCACACTGTAGCATGCCTCGTCCCACCCAGAGGGCTCTGGCCCAGTGACCTGTCCATGGGGAACCCCTTAGGATAGCCTCCTGCCGCTCGCTGGACGCCCCAGCTCACAGCACATGTGCAGCAGGGAGCTGGCCTCAGCCTGGAGGCCCCTGGAGCCAGGTGGCCTGGTCAGGGCCTGCAGGGCCAGGCTGTCTCTGGAGGGAACGGGGCTGTGGTGTGAGGGGCTGTGAGGAGGGAGGCAGGAGTCACTGGGCAGTAGCCGAAGGGGACTATGGAGAGCCCGCTGTCCCAACCCCTAGGCAGCAGGAAGCCCAGCCGCATCCCAGCCTTACACAGCCTGAGGCCAGACTGCCAGGAGGGCGGGGCCCTGGAGGCTGAGAGGAGGTGGGCAAGGCTGGGCTTGGTGCCAAGGGGCAGGGAGGCCTGAGCCATCTGGGGAGTCTGGCGGGAACAAGGGGGGCAGGTCCAGCAGGGGCAGGGGGAGCAGGGGCGGGGGGAGCAGGGGCGGGGGGGGGGGAGCAGGGGCGGGTGAGCAGAGGCGGGGGAGCAGGGGCGGGAGAGGGGCCGCATGCGCACACTCGGCGGGCGGGGGGGGGCAGCCTGTGCAGCGCTGGGCACTCACCGGTGGTAGCCGCTCAGCGAGAAGGCGCCCTGCGGGGAGGCGGAGGAGCTGCTCTTGAAGTAGTAGATGCATCGCTTGTGGATGATGACGAAGCGCAGGGGCCCTGCAGGCAGCGGGGTGGGGCCGGTGAGCTGGGGCCACTGGGCAGACCCCACTCTGGGGACCTCCCAGGGGTCCCGGGCGATCGGACCGGCTCTGAACCCACGGGATGAAAGGGCAAGGGGCTGGGCTGGCGCGCCGCCCGCTCCCCAGGAGTCCAGCATGGGGTCCGAGGCGGACACGGCCTGGGCGTGCTGCCAGCCCCGGGCAGGGGAGGGCCGGGCATGGCTGCGGGGACGGGGGCTGCGAGAGCAGGGCCAGAGGCCTGGGGGGCCCGTTGGGAGCTGCGGGCTGCGGGAGGTTGCCTCCACCCCAGGCTGGCACAGCACAGCGAGGGAGGGGCAGAGAGGAGGCACAGGAGCCCAGAGTGTGGCTCCGACCCCAGGCTGAGCAGCCCCGCTGAGACCCCTGCTCTCCACGGCCTCACCCGACCGGCCCCCCCGGCCCAGGAAAGGCAGTGACAGCGCGTCCTTGGAGGCACCCTGTCCGGAGACGGCAGACCAGCTGGTGCCCAGCCTGGGGCACCACGACCAGGCAGCACCCGGAGGGACGGGCAGGCCGGATGCTCTGGGCCCTCAGTGCCTTGGCAAGCGGCATCTCCCGGACCCGGGCTCCCCTCTCCAGCTGCCGTCCCAGGGCCCAGCCCCGCACTCAGCAGCTCGAGGTCTGGCTTGGCATGTGGGGCTCAGCCTGCCCAGCTGGGCGGCACCGTCACCAAGTGCCCCGGCGAGCGGAGGCCACCTCCGGCCCCCCAGGCTGGCAGCCACCGGAAGGGGGAGAGGGGGACCCGGGAGGGCCCCCACGGAAGGAGCCGGAAGCTCAGCTCTGTCCCCGCGCCCCCCATCAGCGCCCACCATGGGCTCACATTTGAGCAGCTGCAGCTGCGTGCCGCCCTTCTTGTGCAGGTAGCCGGCCTTGGCCACGCCCCCGGGCATGGTCAGCAGGTTCTGGGCCCCGATGGCCTTCATGGGGACGGGCCAGTGCATCTCCTCGGCCGCCATGAAGCTGCAATGAGAGCAGAGATGTCTCAGCCAGGGCGGGGACTGCAGGGACAGCACCGAGGTCCTGAGGCCGCAGGGAGGCTCCGGGCAGGAGGGTGGCACATACCGAGTGCCCCAGGACCCTGAGAGCTGTGTGTCCTTTCTCTTTCATTTTAAATACATTTCATTGATTTTTTACAGAGAGGAAGGGAGAGGGACAGAGAGAAACATCGATCAGCTGCCTCCTGCACACCTACTGGGGATGTGCCCACAACCAAGGGACATGCCCTTGACTGGAATCAAACCTGGGACCACCACCCCCCACAGGCCGACGCTCTATCCGCTGAGACACACCGGCCAGGGCTGCGCGTGTTCTTTCCAGTTACTGGTTCACTCAGCTCTCACCTACAGAGCTCAAGGCCCCTGGAGGCTGGGACAGCAGGGAAGGAATTCAGGAAATCACCAGCCCAGGAAAGTCAAGCCTCAGGCCATAACCACCAAGTACCAGTGCCAGGTGAGTCTATCATGGGGCCCCGCCCTGGACAGGAAATTCCGGAGGGCTCCCAGGAGGAGGTGTTGAGTCACAGCCTGAAGGAGGGAGTTACACAGGTACGGGGCTGAGGCAGGCCCTGGGCACCCGCTACACCAGCTCCGACTTTCAGCAGGGAGGGACATGGCCCCAGAAACCCCACCCTCAACTCCTACCTGCCCTTAGCTGGCTTCTGTCCACCCTTTCTTTTTTTTCTTATTATTTTTTTCTTATTGATTTTAAAGAGAAGGGGTTAGGGGGGGAGAGAGAAATGTCGATTTGCTGTTCTACTTGCTCAGGCATTCATTCACTGTATGGTTCCTGTATGTGCCCGGCCCAGGGAGCTCACCCACTCTAACCACTGAGCCGCCCGGCCAGGGACTGTCCATCCTTTCCTTAAGGCCCTGACCAGGAAGCAGAAACGCAGGTTCACCAGCCCCCAGCTCCTGGGTCAGACAACCCAGGCTCCTGTCCTGGCTCAGCCTTCCCGGGACCCCTAAGCCTCCGTCGCTGGGGCTGGAAAATGGAAGGACAGCGCAGAGGCAGCTTGGCACACAGCACGCCCTCACCCCCGCCAGGACCACCCAGTGCCTGGTCCCAGGGACTATAAACAGACAGGAGCAGGGCAAGGACGATGGGCCAGGCACAGGCACGCACCAGGGCAAAAAGCCCTGATGCCTAGCAGGGGGCAAAACTGGGAAAACAAGGCCCTGGCCCCAGGGTGGCCTTTCCTCCCCTAGCTTACCACTGCTGACCCCGACCTCCCCGCCTCAGAGAACATCCAGGCCTCAGTCGTGGGTCAGCTCCAGGCCCAGGAAAGCAGCAAAACCAGCCAGTGATGCCAGTCTCCTGCCCTGGAGCCGACCAATGGGAGGAGACCATGACCAGAAAGCACACCTGGAGGGCGGGTGAGTGGTTAGAGCTCCCTGACCTCCCCAGCAGGAGGAACAGCTCAGGGCAAAGCACGCCCCTTCTCCCAGGGTCCCCTCAGGACCTGCAACCAGGAGCACAATGGCAGTAGCGGCCCTCGGCTCACCCCAACCGTCTCCAAGGCCCCCTTTTCTCTCACTTCCCAGGGCGCCAGGCAGCCGGCCTGGCGCTGCTGCTGCTGCTGCTTCTATGCCCTTCCTCGTTCCACTGCCTGAGCACGTTTTTACCGCAGTCAGTAAATTCTTTATATACGTATGTATTTTCTTATTGGTTTCAGAGAGGAAGGGAGAGGGAGAGAGAGCCATCCATGATGGGAGAATCATTGATGGGCTGTCTCTTGCACGCCCCACACTGGGGATTGAGCCTGTAACCTGGGCATGTGCCCGTGACCGGAATTGAACCTGGGTCCCTTCAGTCCACAGGCCGATGCTCTATCCACTGTCCCGGCTAGGGCAGTGGACAGCAAACTGCTGCTCTCGAGCCACATGCGGCTCTGTGGCCTCTTGAGTCTGGCTCTTCCACAAAACACCACGTGTGGGCGCGCATACAGGGAGATTGAGACTCCGCGGCCCATGGGCAGAAGTCCGTTTCCGGCCTGGGTGGGTCTGTTTTGAAGAAGCGGCGTTAGAACACTCAAGGGGCCAAAGAGCCGCATGTGGCTCGCGAGCTGCAGTGTGCGAACCACTGGGCTGGGGCATCAGTCAAACTCCTGCTTGCTTTTCTAACCGTTTTTTCCCTGTTGACCTTTCAGAGCAGTGGTCCCCACCTGGTGGTCCCTGAGGACCGGAAGGCTGGGGACCGCTGTTTTAGAGCGTGGAAGGGAGGTGCAGAAACAGAGAAACATCACCTTCCGCATGCCCCCCATCCCACCCCACCCGCGCCCCCTGATCAGGGCCCGGCATCAAGCCTGCAACCAAGGTGCGTGCCCTTCACCAGGCTCGAAACTGGGACCCTTCGGTCTGAGGGCCGACACGCTGCCCACTGAGCTACACCGGCTGGGGCTACACTTTGTCTCAGGATTTCCCTCGAGACAAGAACCTGGTCTCCGGCCAAGGAGCGCAGGGATGGGGCGTCCGGCCCTCGGGCGGGTAAGTCGGGGAGACCATGCGGCCTGGCCAGCCTGGCATCGGGCTGAGTTGATTCCAGTTTGGTGCGCGGCCCCCCGCGATGTGACAGCTCCCAGGGCCCTAGCCGGGCAGGCCCAGGCCCCGTGCCCCGGCCCCCGCCGCCTGCACCTCCTCCAGCGCCCAGCGGCCCCCAAACCTGCCAGGCTGCTGCTCCCCTCCGCCTGGGCCCTCACAGGGCCCCGCTCACCCCCAGACCCAGACCCCCCCCCCCCGTGAGGCCCCCGCACCCCGCCCCCCGCCCCCCGCCCCCGGGGGAGCTCAGCCCGCCGCCGCCCTCCCAGCCCGCGGGACAGAGCCGTCCGCCGCGGGCACTCCCGCCGCCGCCCCGGCCCCGGCCCCGAGCCCCGGCCCCGCCGCCCCGGCCCCGCCGCCCCGGCCCCGCCGCCGCCGCCTTTGTCCCGCGGAGCCCCGCCCGGTACTCACGGCGGCCACGCGGCGGGCACGGCCGGCTTCCGGGGGGCGCAGCCCCGGCCCCGCGCGCACCGGCACGGCCCCCGGCCCGGCCTCGCCGCCGCCGCGCCCCAGGCGCACGGCTCCCGCGGACCCCAGCCCCGCGGCCGGAGCCCCGCGCCCGCCATGCCGCCGCGCCCGCCCAGCTCCTCCCGCGGCAGGTGGGACCGCACCGCCCGTCGCCGCACCGCCCCCCGCACCGCCCCCGCACCGCCCCCCGCTCCGCCCCCGCTCCGCCCCCCGCTCCGCCCCTTTCCCCCTCCGCCCCCCCGCACCGCCCCTTCCCACCCCCGCCCCCCGCACCGCCCCTTCCCCCGCACCGCCCCCTCTCCGCCCCCCGCACCGCCCCCCGCACCGCCCCTTCCCTCCCGCTCCGCCCCTTCCCCGCGGGCAGGTGAGGGCTCCGCCCCCGGCAACGCCCCTTTTCCCCCTCCCCCCAGGCACACACACCATCCCCTGTCTGCCCAGTCTGGTTTTGTTTTGTTTTTTTGTTTGTTTGTTTTTATATATTTATTGATTTTTCACAGAGAGGAAGGGAGAGGGCCTCCTGCACGCCCCCCCACTGGGGATGTGCCCGCAACCAACGTTCATGCCCTTGACGGGAATCGAACCTGGGACCCTCAGTCCGCAGGCCGATGCTCTATCCACTGAGCCACACCGGTTTCGGCGTGTCTGCCCAGTCTGAATCTCCAGGGCCTCCTCAAGCCCACCTGCCCTCCCGGTCCCGCCTCCTTCCTCCCCTCTCCCCCTTCACCTCTCAGACTGGCACACACAGGAGAGGGGCCGGCATTACCGACGCCGACATGAAATCACCGCGGGGACACCCCAGACCGAGGCTCCTGTCTGTGGACGGACAGACAGGGACAGACAGCCGTCTCACCAGCCCAGCAGCGGCCCTGCCCGCCAGGGCCCGGCCCGAGGCAGGACGGAGGCATTTGATGGTCACGGAGGGCGACACCGGATCAATCGGATAAAGGACAGAAGCCACATGATGGTCTCAGGGAGAAAGGCATGTGACAAACATGGACAACCCTTTCCGGACAAGAACCCCACTTCACTCCCCGGACAGGGGGGACCATCCTCAGCCCTGCAGCTGGGAGGCCCTGGCTCACCCACACTGGGAACAGGGGACAGCTGGAGCTCTCCCTGAGCAGGACAAGGCCAGGATGGCCCCCTTGCTGCCCGCTAAACTGGTCCTGGGGGCTCTAGCCCAGTGGTTTTCAACCTCTCTGATGCCACGACCCTTTCATCCAGCTCCTCACGTGCGGTGACCCCCGACCATAAAGTTATTTCCGTTGCTACTTCATAACTGTTATGAATCGTAATGCAAATATCTGTGTTTTCCGATGGTCTCAGGCTCTACAGCAGCGGTTCTCAACCTGTGGGCTGCCTAAGACCATCGGAAAACAGGTATTTGCATTATGATTCATAACAGTAGCAAAATTACAGTTATGAAGTAGCAACGGAAATCATTTTACGGTCGGGGGTCACCACAACACGAGGAGCTGGATTAAAGGGCCGAGGCAGCCGAAACCGGTGTGGCTCAGTGGTAGAGCGTCGGTCTGCGGACTGAAAGGTCCCGGGTTCGATTCCCGTCAAGGGCATGTACCTTGGTTGCGGGCACATCCCCGGTGAGGGGTGTGCAAGAGGCAGCTGGTCGATGTTTCTCTCTCATCGACGTTTCTAACTCTCTATCCCTCTCTCCTCCTCTCTGTAAAAAATCAATAAGATATATTTTTAAAAAATTTAAAAAAGACCGTGGCATTAGGAAGGTTGAGAACCACTGATCTAGCTGGTCACGCCTCCTTCCAGAGAGGAAGACGCTAAACACACAGGCGAGATGTGCGCGTGGGAAACGCCAAGGAACCCACCAAACGCCATTGGCTCCGCTGGGCTGGCTACAGGATCCACACACGAGGGGGCACTGACCCACCCCCAAATGAGCTGAAGGCCTGCTCCCTCCTCGGCAGCCTGCCCTGACCTCCGCGGGGCCCTGTGTCCCTCCAAACACCGACCGCCACGGCATCACTGTCACCCCACCCTCACCAGCTCAGGCCCAGCACACGGGGCGCCCGGGACCCCACAGGAGGCGGCGTGTCCACCCCGCAGGGCGGGGAAAGGCCCGGGGAGCCCGCACAGAGCCCCCGCCGCTGGCCGCACCCTCCGGGCCTGTCAGGGGACAGCAGCTGCTGTGAGGACCCACACTCCTGCTCCCCACCTGGGGGAGTTGGCGGGAGTCCTCCATCTCACCTGGCCACCGCCCCTCCCTGGGTGCTGACAGCTGACCGGGAGGCCGGAGCCGGCCAGGTAGAGTGAGGGGGGAGTGGTGGCTGAGAGTGAGGGTGACGGCAGGCCGTGGTGGCCACAGTGACCACACAGCTTTGGGGGGACTCTCAGCCGGCTCATGGACCCCATCGGAGCCTGAGAAAGTTGAGGGGAGTCCCCCAAGGCCACCCATCATCCGGGCAACCTCGCCTGCCTGGCTGTCTCTCTCATTGCCCATGCCGCCCCAGCCCCAGTGACCTGACGGTTACACCCCATTCGCCCCGGGGACCCACAGGAAACCTGTCCCCTTCTCTGGGGGAGACACCCCAGTGGTGCCCCTCGCCAGGCTGCTAGGTGCCTGCTGAGCCGCCGCTGGGAGCTGTGGGGGACACTGCTGGAGACTTGGGTTCCAGTCCCTCCTGGCTGCGCTCCACTGAGTCTCAGCTCCCTCCACAAGGAGGCCTGGGAGGACACCCTGAGCCCCGCACCCAGGGCGCCGGCTGACCCTCCGGCCCGGCCACCCTGTGAGCTGGCAGCGGCCCAGCTGTGGTGCAGGGCGCTCTGTCCCCGCAGCCGCCGCCGCCGGGACGAGGGCCTGGAGACACGCAGGTGGGGTGCCCGGGGAGAGGCACCTGGGAGCCGGGCATGCCCGGGCTCTGCTCCTGGCCTCGGGGACCGGAGGTGGGGGGATGGAGGGTAGGGGTAGGGACAGCAGGCGGTGAGCTCTCCAGCACAGCCGCAGCCCCAGCGTGTTCCAGGAAGTCAGGCTGTGGGGGCTGCGCCCAGGACGGGGTGCTCGCCGCAGGCCATGAGGCGCGTGCCACGGGCAGTGCGTCCATAGGAGGTCCCGTGTGTGCATGCATGTGTGCGTGCATGTGTGTGTGCGTGGGTGTGCACGGTGTGAGCCGTGCATGAGAGCGAAGTGGGGTCCAGGGAGGGCTGGGCTCCCGTGGGACCTGCAGACACGCCGTGGGCACCGTGAAGGACCAGAGTCAGGGCACTCCTGTCAGTGGTGACAGGCTGGCCAGCGTGTGGGCACCACACGACCCAACAAACATTTACACACTCACACCCCGCACACTTCCTCACCGCACATGTGCACTTACACAGTCACGCTCACATCAGGGCACATTCCCATGCTCAGTAACACCCACTCACACATGTACATGTTTACATAATACTCTCACACATATACACACACATGTAACACCCACTCACACATACACACGCACACATAACACACTCACACATGCACACGCACATATAACACATACGCGTATACATGCACACTTAACACACTCACACGTATACATGTACACTTAACACCCACTCACACATACATGCACACGTAACAGCCACTTACACATACACATGCACATGTAACTCTCACTCACAGGCTCAGTACTGGTCCATACACACTCACACGACACAGGTGCACTCATTCAAACGTGCATGCACACACTCACATGCATTCTTACACACCCCTTGCTCGTGCCCGCTGGCTTGCATGACCACACCCACAGCCTCCGGGCTGGCAGGAGCCTCCATACGTGGCTCTGTGCCCTGGGCAGGAGGTGGGCCTTGCCAAAACCTCACCATCCAGCCCTGCAACGCGCAGCACCAAGGTCAGCCTGACGGCTCTCACAGCCCGGGCTCGGCGCTTACTCCCATTTCACAGACTGGGACACTGAGGCCAGGAGAGGCCCAGGGCCCTCGCCATGGACACCATCCCAGCTTCAGTCACCCACGTCACTGATGAAGACCAAGGGTCAGAGAAGACACAGCCAGTAAATGGGGGGGGTGCTCACCCCACCGGGAGCAGCCACGCCCCCAACCTGGCACAGGGCACAGGGCACAGAGCACAGGGCTGGAGCTGCTCGTCAGGACTTGCCTTTCGGTTTCCCCTTCCCCTTCCTCTTCCCGGAACCCTTCTCCGTAAAAGAAGCAAAACCAACATCTTCGATGACGGCCGTGAGCAGCCACACGTCCCAACACACGTTCACATACAAGGAAAGCCCCCGCCTGCGGGCCCCGGCCGGCTCCTCGGCTCTGTGCCAGGCCCCGAGCACAGCGCCCAGCTGGCAGCCAGGGGCCCACACACAGCGTCCGAGCCCTCGGTGCATGGCTCACTCACACACACACACACACACACACACCATCACACTCACACTCACACACACACTCACACACACACCATCACACTCACACACACACTCACACACACACCATCACACTCACACACACACACACACACTCTCATACACTCACACACACACACACACACACCATCACACCCACACACACACTCACACACTCACACACACACCATCACACTCACATACACATACCATCACACTCACACACACACACACACACACACCATCATACTCACACTCACACACACACTCACACACACACACACACCATCACACACACTCACACACACACACACACTCATACACTCGCACACACATACACACACACCATCACACCCACACACACACTCACACACTCACACACACACCATCACACTCACACACACATACCATCACACTCACACACACACACACACACACACCATCATACTCACACTCACACACACACTCACACACACACACCATCACACTCACACACACACAATCACACACACACACTCACACCATCACACTCAATGCTCTCACACACTCTCACATGCTCATTCTCACACCATCACGCTCACACACTCACTCAGACATACACACTCACAGTCCCACACCACCACACTCACAATGCCTCACACACTCACGCCCAGTGTGTGCACACACAGGTCCCAAAGGCCAAGGCCTCCCTGCCAGCTGCCAGCTGCGTGCCCAGAGCCGGGCCCAGCGCCCCCTCCTCTGCTCCCCTCCGCCCCGAGGGCCCTGGCCCCCTCGGCCTCCCCAGGCAGCTCTGCCGGCTCTGGCGGCCCCTCCCCAGGCCCGGGCCCGGGCCCCACTGACCTGAGGGCACTGACCCAGCACATGGCTCTCCTGCAGGGCGACGGGATGGGGGCAGGTGTCCTGGGGCCCCGGGAGGACATGGGCTCAGGGGCCCCGGGCTGAGGCCGGCATCTCCCCGGGCGAGGCCTGCTGCCCGCTCGGGGCCCTGTGACGGCGGCTGCCTCGGGCCTGTGGCTCCAGGCCGCTCCCCTCCGGGGACTTCCTGTTGCCGGTCCCTGGGCAGCCGGTCCGCCCGCACTTCCTGCCTTCCCCCGGCTGAGACGGAGGCTGCGCTGGCCGGGCGCTGCTCACCGCGGCCGGAGTGGCCCGCTTCCGGCCCGGGGCAGACCGCAGCCTCTCCGCTGTGTCCCGGGAGGAAGCTCCCAGCCCCCGCGGCCTCCTGCGCCGGCTTCTGCCAGCACCACCAGACCCTGGCGTCCCGGGCTCCAGCCCAGCTCCCTGCCCTGAGAGACCCTGCCAGACCCGGGCCCCGCCCCCCACCCCAGCTGGCACCCCGCACGCTCCTCCCGCAGCCTGAGCACCGTGCCCAGCTCTGCCCGCCGAGGCCACACGGGTGGTCACCGCTCTCCCCTTTGACACCAAAGGACCCGGTTCCAGTCCCGGCCAGGCCCTACCCTCCCGGAGCTCCCCTCCCCAGCCACACGCAGCCCAGGGGGAGCCGGCCCACACCGCGGAGGCTGGGACCGCGTGGCCCCGGCCGGGAGCAGAGGAACCGGGGTCTCCGAGGGACCCAGCCCTGGTTTCCCCCGACAGGCCGAGTCAGGAGGCCTGGGCTGTGTGACCTCCCGGACTCCCGCTCTCAGGCCTGGTTCTCCACGTGCCCCCCCAGCCCGAGGCGGCACCACCGCTGGGCATTCACGCCGCCCGCCCGCCCGCCACGGAGGGCCGCTGCCTGGCCTTCTATCTCACGTGGAGCCGGGAGTCAGGCGGGGACCCCCCAGCGGCCGGCTCTGGTCTCCCACTCACCCTCCCTTACCCCACGGCCGGAGCCTCAGAGTGTCAGGGACCCCCTGCCACTCCACACGCAGGACACTTACCAGGGGGGGCGGGCGCAGCCAGCAGGCCCGGCCGGGGCCAAGGGTCAGCCGGAACGGAAGGGGGAGCGTCCCTCGGGGCTCAGGGTCCCGCCGGCTCCGGAGCCAGGCCAGCGCCGGGCAGGTTTGCATGTGGCATTGACTCAGGACCCGGTCCTGGACCGGCTGATGGCCCGAAGCCGGGGACAGGGCCCCTGTGAGAAGCAGAAGGTGCGTGAGGAGACGTCGGTGCCGACAGACAGACCGGGGCCAAGCGACCAGCAACAGGCCCAGGAGCGGCCCTGCCTCCGCCTGACCCGACCTCCGGCCTCCCGGACAGAGGCCGTGGCTGTGGGAGCCCCCGGCTGCCGCCCTTTCCGGCCGCGGCGCTGCCCGGGGACCCCCATCCTTTTCCCGACTAAATCAGTGCCTCCTCCCGCTGGTCTCGCCGGCCTGGCTGCCTGCACCGTCCCGGCATGGCGAGGCCGCGCAGCCCGCGCCCACCCCTCGCTCACGCATCTTCCGTGGCTCCGCCCACCCTGGGCCCTGTCCCAAAGACCGCAGTCTCCCCCCGGAAACCTAATCTTCCCGACGACGCTCCCTCCTCCTTGGAGAAGAACCATCTAGAATCTCACCTCACCCGAAACCTCCCTTCGAAGGCCAGCCCTGCCCACCAGCGCTGACACAGGGGCCGAGCCCCCGCGGCGGAGGCAGGCCCCAGTGGCAGCAGGGCAGGGTCACGTCCACGCACGTGGCCACCCCGCCCGGCCTGCCCCGCTCAGCGCGGGGCGAGGAACCGTGGCCCGGCCCTGTGGCTCGTGGTTGAGGTGGCGGCTGTGAACCAGGTCACAGTCCAGTGCCCCGTGTGGGCTCGGTCCCCGGAGGGCGTGCCGAGGGCAGCGATCGCCGATTCTCTCTCCCTTCCTCTCGGAAGTCAGTGACCAGAAAGGCCCACAGCCACCTGACCGGTCACTCCACGGGACGGACTGGCAGGGCGGCTGCGCCCGGACGGACGGCCCATGGGAGGCCCAGGGCCTCCAGGAGGCGCAGGAGGAGGCGGGCACAGGCCGCCGGGGACGAAGGCTGAGCGGGAGGGGGGCTTCTCCTCTGGGCCCCGAGCCCAACCTGCGCCCACCCAGCCCGCTGCTCCGGCCCCACAGCCTGGGCCTCCCCTCCGCCCGGTGCCTCCGCCTGCAACGCCCCCAAGCGGAGCGACTTCTCCTGGGGCAGGAGCTTCGGACAACGCGGGGCTCGGGGCGCGGGGCGCCGGGCCTGGGGGGGCGCGGGGCCTCGGGGCGCCGGGCCTGGGGGGGCGCGGGGCATTGGGCGAGGGCGGGGCCTCGGGGCGGGGGGGGGGGTAGGGAGGGCCTCAGGGCGTGGGGGGGGCCTCAGGGCGGGGTTCTCAGGACGGGGGTGGGAGATCCTCAGGGCAGGGGGGATAGGAGGGGAATCTCAGGGCGGGGGTCTCAGGACGGGGTGTCTCAGGGCAGGGGGGATAGGAGGGGCCTCAGGGCAGGGTCTCACGGTGCAGAGCCCTGGAGGGAGGCGCCCAGGAGGACAGCACTTGGGGTGCTCAGAGTGGGGTGGAGAGGTGGCCGGGCAGGGCCTCCAGGCTAAGGTCCTGTCCTGAGCACCAGGGCCACGCAGGCCAATGGGGGGGGCAGGTTGGGGTGTCACTCTCCTGTGCCTTTCCCTCCTCAAACCACAGGGCAGAGGCGGCCCAGGATTCACACTTCAGTTCATCATGACACTGGCGAGTTTCCACCTCCCAGTTGCTTGAGAAAACTCTCCCGAGGGGCCCGTCCCACCCGAGTTCCTGCCTGCCCACCCGCCTGGCCCAAGAGGCTCCCTGCCTCACCCCAGGCCAGCTTAGGCACCCGAGGCCCCAGACCCTGCCGGGGACGTGGGGTGCCACCCCTGAGCGGCGCTCAGTGCATGTCTGCCACCATGAGACTCTGCCCCACCCTCAGGGACCTTGAGCAGGGTGGGGCAGTGGTTAGAGCATGGGCTTCCTTGGGGATGGGCCTGGCTCATTCTGCTCCTAGCCCTGTGGCCCACCCCGAGCCTCAGGTTCCTTCTCTGGCAGCCCCTGGGTGGCACTGTCCGAAGACCAGGTGCCGGGCTGTTGGGCAGGGCCCCCCCAGGGCCCCGGGCACTGGGTTCTGTCCTCACAGGCGGGCTGGGGAGGGAGAGCCTTCTCGGAGCCGTCTGGGCCACAGCGCTCCCGCCACCCGGCCCGCTCTGAGCTGTTACCACGTCGGGAAGGCCGCCCGGGGGGTAGGGGCCGGGCCTCCGCCACAGAGGCTCCCTCAGTCCAAGGAGCTGCCCTCCCTGCTCCAGGGCCCCGCTCAGACCTCGCTGCTCAGGCTGGAGCCGGCCACCTGCACGGCCGCCCGTGGGCAGGGCCCTCCTGCTCCCGCTCCCGGGAGAGGCTGCCCTCAGGACCCCACGCTTGTCCGTCTGTCTGTGGGCTACCTGCCCTGCCCCGCGCCAGCTCCACCCGTGTCCACCCTGCAGCGCCCGGTATGCCCGGGGCACCTCCTGCTGCATGGACGCCCCCTCCTCTCATGGGTCCAGTTCATCAAACCACTCAGCTGACCTGAACACCCCACGCCTCTGTCTCAGCGGCGCTCTGGCTGCATGGCAGGCGCCGGCTCTGCACCCTGAGGGGCCTCAGCCAGGCACCGGCCCCCGCCTCGGTGTCCTCGCTCACAGACCTACACCGAGACCCGTGCGGAGCCGGGACCACGCTCCCTCCCTGAGCCTGCAACCCGCCCCGCCCCGGGCAGGCAGCGCTGCCCCTGCTGCTGACCCCCCGGGCCAAGGGCACGTGGCGGGCGGAAACCTGGGAGCACCTGTCGGACGCCCGGAAGGACAGACCGTCTTCTCTGAGGTCCGCGTCAAGCTGACCCCGAGCCAGACCAAGCAGGGAGGAGAGGGTCCTCCCCAATCCCGGCGCCCACCCCACGTCCCCGCCACGGGGCTCCCACACCCACCGCGCCTGGGCCCACCCGGCTCCGGCCTGCCTCCCGGCTGCCAGGGGCGGGATGTGCCCACTCAGGGGCAGAGGCTGCGGCCAAGCAGCCCTCCCAGGGACAGTGCCCCCTGCTGAGGCCTCGGCACTCCGCCTGCAGCCAGTTGGAGATGGCGCTGGCCAACGGCAGGGCGGGAAGGGGAGCCGGCCAACGTGTCAGCTCCGGCCGCGCAGTCCCCGCTCCCACGCTGAACGCTGCCCCCGAGGAGGAAGTTGAGCTGAGCAGCGGCAGCCACGGCCACCCGGCCAGCACTGCCCCTCGCCCATTTTCTGCCAGGCCTGGCCCTGAGGGGCAGGAGGAGGGGCAGAGAGGGCCCCAGAGCCTACTCTCAGGGGCTCCCACCTGGGGGGTTGCCCGCCAGCCCAGGGGCAGCCGGAGGGTTGCTGGGCAGAGGCCATGCTGCATGCCGGGCTGCCTCCTGGCTCAGAGCAGGCGTGTTTAGGCACAGCTCAGAGGGGGCAGGACCCGGTGGCACAGCCCCTCCCCGCCCCTCCGGCCCTGCTCACTGGTCACGCTCACAGCAGCCATGCCCTGGCGGGCTCTGGTGCTCCCCGGGAGGCAGGCTGTCCCAGGGGCTGCTGGGAACAGCACTGGGCTGTGCGGACGGAGCGAAGGAGAACCACGGCGCCAGACATGGGGCTCCTACAAAGCCATGGCCAAACCCTGCTGGGCAACAGAAAACGGAGGCCGGAGGGCAGCATGCTGTGCCCACCGCTGGGCTGGGGGGCTGGCTGGCGCTCTGGGACCTGCACCCGGCATCGCCCGATCCCGAGTCCCCATCGGGGCACCGCCTCCTGCCTGTGAGCCCACACCCTTCCCCTCAGGATCCAAGTTGGCCGCCCTCCAGCCAGGGCTCCCCGTCTGCTGGGGAGGCAGCACGCTGACTCACACCCTCATGACGCTGCAACGCCCAGACCCGGTGACACACGGCCAGCGTGCCCGGCAATCTCCCACGAGCGGTGGCCGAGCAGGAAGGCACACGGAAAGCGACGGGTCCGCAGCAGCTCGTGCAAAGGGCCTGGGGTCAGGGTG